CCTTTATCTTCTCTCTCACACTATGCTGATTTCCAGGTTCTCAGGCAGTGGTTCCATTATCACGGAAGTTTCCTTCTTCTTTGGCACCATTAAAAATTTTGGTGGAGCAAACCTGGAAAATGGGACAAGTGGATAATGAGTTAACACTTCAACAGTGTCTTGTATCATGGTTTTACTACATGTCCTCTTCAAGTAGGAGCAGAGTTCTGCCAGAGCACTAAACATGCAAACAAAATACAGGATTTGACCCCCAGAACATCTGATCTGCTGGGCCTGTTTTTTGTATCTTTAGCTGCTTGAGATCCGCTCGAAGCGCAAGTCAACTCTCATCAGGCCTTGTACACAGAGCTGCGGTCCACACGTCTGCAGATGCCACCGGGAGGAACCACCGGGGGAATACGAGCTGAGGGAACGTAGGGAGAAGCCTCCTGTGTGTCGTTACAGCCGCTTTTTAGGGGACCCAGCAGGGGGAGGGCTCCAGGAGGACAAGTGGGCATTCACTTCGCTTTGTGTGTGAGCTGGACGGTGTGCACTGCCATCCTTTGGGGCATGGTGTCCAGTTGCATTGACACCATTTACTGTAAGGACTGTCCTTTGCCCATTCTTTGTTCTTGGCCTCTTGGTCGTGAATTAACTAAAAGCACACACTGACGTCTATCAGGCTACCCGGTTCTGTTCCTGTGGTCTCTGTGCTTGTTTTTGTGCCAGAAGCACACGGTTCTGGTTACTGGACCTTTCTGAGGTAGTTTCAAGTCAGGGAGCAAGATGCCTCCTTCTGTGTCCTCCTTTCTCAACGTCTCTTAAGCTATTCTGGGTTCTGTGTGGATCCATATGAATGGTGAGAACTGTTCGCTTTGTGTTACGCTTCAAAGTGCCAGTCGAATTTCATAGAGATCGCCATCACTGCGTATACTGTTTCGGCTGGAAAATGTTTCAGTAATATTCTTCCAATACATGAGCACAAAATATTTCTATCTCTGTCACCAATTTCTTTATCACTCTTTCGTAATTATTTTCCACGTGCAAGCCTTTCATGTCCTTGGCTAGTTATTCCTAAGTATTGCGTTTTCTTTTGTGAACCTGTTCAGTGAGATCGTTTTCATAATTTTTATTTCTGAACGTTTATTAGTGTACAGAAACTGAAATGATTTTTGTGTGCTGCTTTTAAATTATGCACCTTCCCTAAATTCATTTACTAGTTTTAACAAGTTCTTACTGGTTTGATGTGGAAAATTGAAATGCAAAACGCTAAAATTCAATACACCACGTCCAGATCACAACCCCCAAGGCAGAGCGGCGTACCATGTGGCCCTCCCGCAGCGCGTCCTGATGCAGTGTCCATCCCTGCAGGGTGATGGGCTTCGCCGTCTTGGATGAACTGCATCTGGGGAGGGCTGGTTTGATGTGCTCTCTGCTTTTGTGACATGGTTTTGACATGGTTGCTTTTAACATATATATTTACTTTCCACTATTTTTAAACATACTGGTGGTATCTGAAGATGTCCTCCCTCAGTAGGAATGAGGCCTTCAATCTGAG